CTGAGATACCAAACAAAACATGACTATCCAGGTAAAAGGAAACCTGCCTCAACACAAAGTATGTCTTGGGATGGAAAGCTGCAGTTGCAGCTCTGAGACTCAAATGTGTTCTTGTGATTTTCAAGTGGTAATGAGACACCAGGGAAGCACTATTACCTGAAGTAAGTGCTTCTTCCTTGGCAGTCTAACCTGTTTGCACTTGGTCCCTCTCTACCTGGATGGATTATCATCCCAGTTTAGACTTCTCTGGTAAGTGTGAGGGGAAAAGAATGAGAATCCAGCAAGACATTCAGGGGCTCCTCTAACCTACCAAGCAGAGTAATAAAGAATCTCTAAAGATGTTGTTTGTGCATGGATGGGTGGATGGGTCTTTGTGCTAAAACAGTTGGACATCCTATTTGGTACAGAGGAAAAGGACCAAAGGATTCTTCTTGGTTTTGTCATACAGAACAAAAAGCAGATTAGTTAAAAGGAGAAAAAGGCCTTATGCAATGAGAAATGACTGGCAAAGATTGCCCCAGGTAAAACTGGTGACTATTCAAATTGAGAAAAATTCCTCTGACTGTTTTTGTGGTATTTTTCACAGAGAGGTTCAAGACAACCTCCGCACAAGAAGAAGCCCAAGAGTGACAGAAGAAAAAGTGACACAAACAGGGGAACTAGAGGCAGTGAATCCCAAGTTAAGAGTGCTTCTATATCTAGAATAAACTGTGACAAGAGGAAAATCACAACATACGGAAAACATGATAGATTAGTTTGGCGCAATCTTCAGTCAACATTGAATGCTATGTAAGAGCATGGAATTAACAAACACTAGTGTGGCAGGTTAGAAAAAGAAATATTTATGAAAGCAAAATGGAAAACATCTTTGACGTCCATTAGGTTGGTAATATAATACTAAGAAGCACACCACACTGAGCTGTTATCTGGTTGGCTGGCTGAGTCCCTCTCCAGATTACCACTTAAATCAATAGCTCTCACATTGATTTTTCCAGCACACTGTATTCCTGTAAAAAAGAACAATGCTCTGAGATGAGTCAGCTATTTGCTCTGTCTGTAGGAACTCTGGTTTGTTTTTATTAAGGAAAATAAAAGTAGGAGCCAAACTACGCACAGATATATAGTAATAGGAACCTGCCTGTTGTACCATAACATGGCATGGGCTCTGCAGACATGGGTTTGCTACAACTTGCTGCAGCAGCTACAGCCCAGCCTTGAGCAAGCTGCTGTAATGATGGAACTGAAATATTTGGAGTTGGTCTTAGACAGAAAATAATATTGAGTTGTAGTTTATTAACTGCTATAGCAGGGAGAAAATATATGCCCACATGTATATCATATCATAGAATCACAGAACCATAGAATGGTTTGGTTTGGAAGGGACATTAAAGATCATGTAGTTCCAATCCCCTGCCATGGACAGGGATGCCACTCACTAGACCAGGTGGCTCAAAGCCTCATCCAACCTGGCCTTGGACACTTCCAGGAATGGGTCAGCCACAACTTCTCTGGGCAATGTGAATCCCTTCTCTGAACAATTTAACTAAGAAGTTGATCTCCATATATTTGCCATGACATGTAGAACCTTGGAAGTACTGCATTTTCATTTACTGCATATATTTTCATGTATTTGCATATTCCATATAACATGCACTAAAGGTCTGTATTATAACTAGTTAGTACTATTGTCTGATGTTACTTCTGCTCCTTTTAACCACGTTAAGAGTTTCCCGTTTTATATAGGTTCCTATAACCACAACATGCAGGTTCATTTACTCTTACTTTCACTCACCTGCATAGCTATCAATTCAGAAACCAGCAACCTTTCTCTCACCGAGTTTTATAATATTTCAAGAACCTTGCAAAAAGTGCAAGTTCAAAGAAGAAAACAATGTCAAGAGCTACTTGGAGATTTGGAGTCAGGCTGAAGCACAACTCTGCTCAGGGTTTCTCTTGACCCCTCTCTGCTGCAGGCACAGAGCAGAGACCCTGCCATGGGCCCTTGTCTCTCCCCCAGCTCTCCACACATGGCTGGTCTCTTGGCTTCCAGCCTCAGCACCTGCCTGCAAGGTTGGCTTATTTCTGGGAACTTTGAGTTAACATCAGATAAAAACTATTAAAATGCCAGGGAAGTTAACAAATTAAAATATTTGTCCCTCTTGTCCACTACATCTATTATCTCCAGTGTTCAGTGTAAGTTACCAGATTACAGTCTATCCCACCTGCCATTAATGATAGTAATCCTCAGATGATATGGAGCAG